ATGGTATGCAGAAAACCTGCAATACTACAGTAATCCAATGCTTCAGCAATATGCTACTGTGAGGTTACCAGTAGCATTTTCTATTGCTGAAGCATTGATTATTGTAGTATTGCTTTGAAATCTTATACGATCAACAACATTTCATTCCTAGGAAGGTCCTGCCTCGTCATATCTACAATATGCATCTGCTTTGAAATCTTTTGTTTTTGTCACAGAAATCTTATATTATCAACAACTTTTCTTTGATAAAAATCGGTTTGTTAACAGGTTTGTATAATAATACTAATCGATCCATGGTTTGTTTTTCAGATCAGAATGAGAAGATATTGAGTTGCTTGCTTTAGCTTACCAACATTATAATTTATGTTCTCGTTTTTCTTATTCCTTTTCTCTTGTTCTATAATTAATTGTATAATCATTTAAGAAGTATTTGGTTTAAACTGTTCATTCCCACTGGTGAAAATATTGTTTTCATTCCCACTTGTGAAAATATTGTTTTGTAAATTCTACAGATCACTTTGTTGAGAGTTTATGAAGAAGTCTTACACATTCTGCTATTAACACATCTGTAACTTGCGTCATCTGTGGCAAAATATCTTCTTACCTTTCTTCTTAACCATGGGATGTAATGTAACCAACTATCCAGTTCTTAACTGGGGCACGCACCCGCAATTCATTAACCGAGCATTGATCTGTCTCCTTATCCTGCGTCTTGATAGACGGTTTTTGCCCGCGGCTGAGAAAGATGATATGTAAACTTCTCCGTTGAGTTAAATACCAGCCATATATATTAATCTAGCTCTGGTGCTCCGGTCTACAGACCCATGCGGAGCTGAGTCACGGCAGATGATGCAACCGCGGCCAAGCATAAATTAGCACGAGAATCACTTCACAAGTCTGCAATCATCTTTTGGTCATTCAATATTTTTCACCCATGGTTTTCCATTAGCCTTCCTCTGATTCTCGAGAACCGCTTTCTTCTTCAGTAGCACGCTCCAAGAGATCCTCATAAGCTCTCATAGATTCTGCTGTAAATTTCTCCATAGCTTCAAAAATACGTTGAAGACTACCCTTCAAACTCTCGTTACTAGCATCGCTTTGGTAGACAATGTTCTCCTCGCCCGGACCCACCAGAACCATTTTCCTTTCCAGTTCTTGAATCTCTTTCTGTATTTTCTGTTCCTCTCGGTCCATATTCCTTGAATCACCATGCCCCATCATCCTCTCCCGGGTTTCTAACCTATCTTCTTCCCAAAGATGAAGCACGCTCGTTGTGAATCTACGCATGGCCTCAATAACTTCCTTCTCTGATATTCTATCCAAAGTTTGTTCCCACTGGTTACAGATCACGAAAATCAGGGGAGCCCCAATACGACCAGGAGAAAAAGGAACTATTCCATCGGCAGTTTCCTCGGGTTCATAGATAAGACACTTCATAAGCCAACTATTCAGTTCTCTTACAAAACCTTTTTGCGCGCTAACCCAGCTAGAGAATCCCAAAATCCAATCTATGAGTTCATGCCCAAGCATTCTTGTAGCCTCAAGATGATCGTCACCAAGTTTTTTGCTCGCTCTTAAGGGACCTAAACCTCTAGCTTCCTTAATAGCCTCACACTGACTTCGATGGCAATCAAGCATGGATTTCCACATTCTGCTTAGCCTGCAAAAGAGAGTTAGAAACTAATGAGATCTCACAATTTAGCCAATCATAGTTAAATATCGATCGCATTTGAACTTCGTCCAACTAACCCTTGGATCAATTGATTCAATTGCAGCCATAGCTCTTCGTCTCTTATCTTGTTAATTGTAACAGATACTTTGTCAACAACTTGAATCGCAATCCGTATCTTAGTGGACAAACTTCTCACTAATATTCGTGTTGAATCTACTTTTTGAGACTCAGAACCTCTTTCATCCAAACGCTTCAGCTTCTTTAACTTTTTCTCGTGGTTTAAACGCAGTCTTTCCTCACCCTACACGAGAAAACACGCACAAAACTAAAGTTCTAACCGGCAAAGAGTAACAACAGAAGAAGAGAGCTAACAAAAGAAATGACATCTCAGTATCCTAAGACACAGACGATATATATATATATATCAACATACCTTGACTTCATCATAAAGTTTCTTCTCCCAAAGGTGGAGCTTGTGCAATGTCGAAGAAAGATTACGAGACCTTAATGCAAGCTCTGCCTCAATATCAGCGTAAGTAGGTGCAGGCGCCGAAGAAGAGGCTTCAGCTTTCTTGGAGGTTGATGGTTGAGATGATGACACCGTAGACAGCGATGGAGTAACCCCGTGCTGCATCTTCGACAATCCTGCTCCAATACAGAAATTCTCAATCCAGTTTTTTTAGCAGAACTAAGTACAATGATTCAACAAAGCTGCAAAACATACTTCTCTTTCACTGACAATAATGGCAACAGAATCATGCATTGACACAACCATAACATATATATTCCCTTTATTTCTACAAAGTACCAAAACTACTGACACAAAACCATAATTTATAATCACTTGATTTCTACAAAGAAGCAAACTTTCTGCAACGGAATCATCAAAAAACCAACACAAAATGAAAGAGAAGAAGACAAAATGATGATGAAATCTACCATGTTTGCGCCCATAAGGTTGCTTGCCCACTTCAAGCATCACTGCAATCTCACTTCCTGACTCTGCAGCTCTCAAGAACTGAACATCTATCTCTTTCGCAACCTCAGCCACCCCACGCCGGACACCGCCACGTGCCGCCGCCGCATTACTCCTCCGTGCCTCTTCCCCACCATCCTCAACAATTTTCTTGTCCACGACATGAACCTCGTACTCCTTTTCTTCTTTCTCAACAGACACGCTTGGCCTAGTCTGATACAGAGAAGCCTGACCACCGCTAGTGCTAGCACCACCAGAGTTACCTGCCGGCTCTTCCTTATCTTCCACGGCGGCGACAAGTTTCTGTTTTCCCTGTACTTCCTTGACAACCTCATCCACTTCCTCCAAATCCGGAATACCTTCTTCCTCTCTTAGCTCTCTCAAATCCCGACTAGGAGTGTACGAATAATCGAAAAGGTTCAAGAAATCCCAAGCCTCCGACGTCGTTGGCGGCGGAGGCGGTTTCGAAGATCCGGGTCCGTAATTCGGGGATGGATTACTCCAATTAGGAGGATAAAGGTAAGGATTATAGTTAGAGCTCGATGATTCGCCGACGTAAACTCTCTGAGGGCTCGAAGGTCTCTGCTCGTAGACGACTGAAGGAGGCATCGAACTATTCTTCATATAGTTCATATGCAAATACGGACCCGAATTCGAGTACCCGGTAAAACCCGGATCTTCGTCGTCGAGATGGTGATGCAGAGGAGACGAGTGATCGGAATCGATTTCGTCGGAATCAGAATCGAATTCGAGATGACCCGACCCAGAATCCGAGTGGGTTATTTTCGGTTTAGCTTTCTTAGGCGAATCTTCTTCTGGGTCGTCTCCGGCGAAACGGTGGTGGTGATTGATGAAGCTGTGAAGAGAGTTGCCGATTCCTTTCAAGGATTGTGTGTAGGCTACGTGAGACTCGGCTAAAGCGTAACGTTGCTGAATCGCTGCTTCTAAGAAACTGCAACGGTCGCGACAAAGAGCAACCGCCGGAAGATCGTCGAGCTTGGAGTTTGTACAACCCATCAAAATCAAATCTTTTTGAAATCCTCTCAAAGAGATTCGAGAATCAGAAGAGAGTACAATAATG